GGGGGGGGGGGGGGGGAGGGGTCAGAGCTGGAGCATGAGCACCATGAGCCCACACAACTCGCCGCCCACGCGTCTGCTGGCTCTCTCTCTTTCAGAGGGGGCGGGGGAGTGCCAGCTCCTCACAGAACCCCTAGTTTTGCTCCGCGGAACCCCAGGGTCCCCGGAGCACCAATTGGGAAACACTGAACTAGAGGGAAACTATTGCCAGACAACTAACTACTTGAGATAAAGGCTTTATCAAAACTTCAAATTGAAAGTGTGGCCATGACAGGAGCACTAGGACAGAGATCTCCCAGCACTCTATGTAAACCACCTTTATGAGTGGAGCAGCAAACAATGCTGTAACTTGCTGTGCTGGGGGAAGCAGGGTGTGTGTTTTACAACACACCTGAGCCAAAAAGTTACAGCACAGGAAAGTGGCAGTATAGACTTAGCCAAAGATGACACAATAGCAAGCAGTGAAGCACTGAAGTCCCAAGCACGGTCACTGGTGGCAAGAAGGAACTGAAAATGGAGGGAGGTCTGGCAGGAGGTATGCCTATATAAAGAGGCATGTGCACACCACTCCAGGGGGTGTGGGAGCCAGCCCCATACAGATACTGCTGATGGAAATCGGTCACACTGCGGTGCATGAGGCTAGCAAGCTTATTTATGCTGAATAGCCATGAGCAAGCACTAGAATAGGGCTACTCAACACGCGGCCTGTGGCCCCTTTCCATGCGGCCCGCGGTGCCTGACTGCTACCGGTTTGGGGGGGAGGGGTGGGTAGCAAGAGGCAGCAGAGCCCTCCCAGAAACAGAGCTGAATCTGCACATAAGGAGGTGTTGCCGGCCAGTTGAGGGAGGAAGAGAGGGGGAGGAGTGGGGGATGGCAAGAGGCGGCAGAGCTTCCCCCCTCCCTCCCCAATGCTGTCATATGGGTAGAAATTAGGTAAATATTGAATTTTATTAATATCAGCAGGACTGACTTAAATGAGGTCTGTGTGTTGTGTAGTCTTGCCTTAATCTTTGTATTCATGCCCGTCAGTATGAAAGATACTATTTGCATATATTTGGATCAATACTTGCATATATTTGCAGCCGCGCTTAAGTTGCGGCCCTCAGCATGTGCTGTGGGTATCATGGCCCCTGGGGGCTTCCAAAGTTGAGTAGCCCTGCACTAGAAGGTGCTTATGATTGTTTGAAAACCACTGTTGCATTTATAAACATTGAATTTAATCTGCCATTTTGTTGCCCAATCACCCATGTTGCAAGCACCAAGGATGCTCAGAAGCCTGATGACTGCAACAGAGAAAACTGGATTACTTTCCAAGGGTGAAACTTGCGTATCCTGAACAACCATATCCTCTGAGGTGAGAAAACTGATTGATCTGAATACCATCTAGTATCTTTAAGATTCAGATTATGCACTTATTTTGTTTCCTGTGGTAACTAGCTGACTTTTTGCCTGTCACTAATAATAATTTAAAATCTACCTTTTGTAATCAAACTTGTTTTACTGTTTATCTTTACCAGTTGAGTTTTCCTAAAGCATTTGGTAAATCTGTTCAGGTTTACAAAGGTTGGGACATAGATTAAATGGTGAACCAACTAACAAATTTGCACTGATCAAGATGATATATCTCTGTGCTGGGGGAACCTGGAAAGTGTCTTTCTGTGTGATTCATGAGTGGCTCTGGGAGCAGTTATGTAATCTAGCTGGGTGTGGGGCTCCATATGCAGTTGTGCTGAGTGATAACAGCACCTGGAGCGGTTTGCAGCTTGGCACTAGCAAGGCGTAATGAGAGACAACACAGGCTGAAGAGTTAAGGGGGCATAGTAATCCCCCAGTCCCAGGCTGCACCCAAGGAATCCAGTGATACCACTGGGATAAGATGGTCACTGCCCCACTGTCATGCCCTGCCTTAGGAGGAAGGTCCCACAGTGTGTCCCACTGCACCCAGCTAAATTCATATAATGGAGTCAGTCCATCTGCATCCCCAACTCCCCTTTCTCCATGCCTTGCAGTCATAGTAATTCCCACCAGCAGATACAGACCGGTGAGCTGGGCACAGATGAACCGAGTTGGGACAGGGAAGAGCTCAGCCTACGGGAGATGTAGGGAGCACCCTAGACAATGTCCCTGAGATCATGAGCAGTGCATACCTGAGAGCCTGGCGACTGCATCGGCAGCAAACACAGCGGTGGCCTCGTGTCTCGTGTCCACCACACGGATGCCCAGCTTCTCAGTGGCCACCAGAATAGGTGAAATATGGCCTCCTACTAGTGTGAACAAGTAGCGCACCCCATGGGCCTTCAGGACCTCTGCAACAAGCTCCCCACCATGCCGGGTACTCTTCGGGTCTGCCTGAGAAGAATAGGAACCATCAGAGCCCCAACCCTTTGAAGTAGGAGGGGGGGGGTGGGCGCTGGGCTAGAATACAGACTGGCAGAGTGCTGGCCTGGCAAGGCAGGATTCTGGGCGGTGGTCAGGACACCAACTGGGAGTGCTGGGTTTGGGTGGCTCCCCATGAACACTGTGGGGGAACGTTGTGCAGGGCAGAGATGGTGCTAATGGCCAGAGGGCTGTAGCTCCAGCACATACTGGGATCCAGGGATAACCACTTAGGGTATGTCTACACTACAAAGTTAATTCGAACTAACAGCCATTAGTTTGAATTAACTTTCATAAGCGCTACACATGCAAACCGCTAGTTCGAACTTAATTCGAACTAGCGGAGCACTTAATTCGAACTAGGTAAACCTCATTCTACAAGGACTAAGCCTAGTTCGAATTAAGTAGTTCGAATTAAGGGCTGTGTAGCCCCTTAATTCGAACTAGTGGGAGGCTAGCCCTTCCCAGCTTGCCCCGGTGGCCACTCTGGGCACAACCAGGGAAACTCTTCTGCCCTCCTCCCGGCCCCGGAGCTCTTAAAGGGCCACAGTCTGGCTACGGTGCTTGTGCCAGTTGCCAGCCTGCCAGAACCCAGCCAGTAGACCCTGCACCTGGC